GGGGTTTTTGGGGCAGGAAAAGGTTCTTATGATGGTTCGAGACTCCTCCCCCTCTGTAAAGGGGGCTCCCATACAAATTAAACAGAAATTTCTGCATAACTCGAGAACTAATCAAGCAAATGGAATCAAATTTGGCATGTGGAGGTCATAGGGGTAGCCACTTAGATAAGGGGGGGGGGGGGGGAGCTACGTACAATATAGCATGCTTTTTTAATTGGCGCATAAACTCAAGCTAATATTGAATCCCGAGCAAGGCCGGGAACACTCAGCTAGTAAAATAAAAAAATATAATCGAAAAAATTATCATAAACACGCAGTGAGCTTCAAATTGTTATGGAATACTACAGCCACTCGTTTGTTTTCTCGCTGGAAGTCATTTGAAGTTGATGCAGAATGCCTCTGTTGCCAAGTGAAAGGGAAGGGATTATTTAGAAAACCGTGATGCGAGTTCCACTGTTTTTCACTTGACGTGGCTCTTATAGACCGACTCTACAAACGTCTTCCAGTTAGCGTCAAAAGCCACAGTGAAGGATGCATTTATTCATACCAACAGGCCGCCATTGCCGAGCGTGGAAAGCTGGATAGAAAAAGGATTCCGTCAATCGTGTCCTTTTAAGCAAACGAAACGTCGTTCATGCGAATGTTCTCCATTTCTAAAGGCCTGTCAATGCCACCCGCACCGGTCCACAAGCAATTTTCTCACCTTTCAGAATAATTTCGGACTTTTGGGCCCTGCAAAAGCAATGCCGCTGGCCGGAAATAGACATTAACTCGCTTTATGCTTTTCTCCTCCATCGCCACGAAACCGTTTATACGGTGAACCCCATCTCTGGACATGGCCAAATTAACAAACTCATGATTACACGTCGGAAATTTAGTTGATGCAGTCGCAGGTTTTCCCATGAACTCCCAAAGGCTCGACGAATCTCGTTGTTTAATTTATATAATTTCCTGGTAAATGTTTTAAATTTGAAAATGCGTAGGTAGGAGGTCGGTGGCGGTCAGAGATGGGGCGGTTCAGCCCTACGCCGCCTCATGCATGGGCATGGCCCAGGCAAATTTTCTCCAAAAAATAATTTCGATGCTGCAAACCGACCGCCAATAAAGGTCGCCGGGATGTGGGTAGACAGACGGCAGAGAACGGGCTCACGAGTCAAACCACTAATCAAAAAGATACTGTTAAATATAACGGAATAATATCGCAGACTCGAACGTGGACAGACAGACGAATGCGGAGGAAAGTCAGACGTACGTGCGTTTTTGGCTGAATGTCATCGGCGGAGGATTACCGATGGCGCGCGATCACCATATCGAATGTGCGATCAAAAATAAACAGTAATTAAATGGCTTTTGGAGAGATCTCCCAGGGGGACACACTGGACGGATGGACAGCTGAACAGACAGCACAAAGAGTCACCAGACACAGGACACCGAGACCAATATTGGCCAGCGGACGACGAATCGATCGCAGTAGGCCGTCGATAAGTGCTTTCTCGCTGGTTTTTGTCACGTTTTTAACGGTATCGTAGCAACGCCGTGCTGCTGCCAGTTGTCGGCTTCGTCGTAGGTACCTACGATGGTCAAGCGAAAAGCAAAGCGGACACAGAGAGCCAACGTCAGTGATAGCGATCGCCACCAAGCTGCTGCCGATGGCGCTGCTGTCTGACATTTTGGGGCATAACGGGATGCTGCATCATCACGACTCCAGACCAAAGAGAGTGCGGATGGTTGGTCTCCCACTGCGGACACGACGAAGATGAAGTGTGTCAAAAGTGTACCTACAACGTATTTACGTAGGAACACACTGCTTTAACTGACCGGCGCGTCGCCGTTGACCACCTTCAATGTCGTGTGTTTGCACTCTGTGCAACATTGTGTAAGCATGAAACGGTGGCTAATGAGCTTGTGGTCTCGAGGTGCACAATTGGAGATCTAATTGAGGTAAAGGAAGGGTGGCGGTAGATCAATTGTTCGATCGAGGAAAAGTCGACCATTCCACAGTTAGTCACGGACGATGAGGTGGGTTTGTTCAAAATTAAAAAAAAAACACTTGCCGAAAGATCACTACGAATGTTTAGTTTTCATCCTAATTTTAAATCCTAGTTTTCATCCTGTAAATGATCTTGGAAAATACAGACCATCGCACTCCAATGAGATGTAAACAGGTGATTCATTGATCCTCCGGTGCGAGTCACACGACACTCTGTCACCGGTTAGGTGACTCGCCGTGCAAATCAAATGGAGAGTCAACCGGCGAGAGATAGTCACGTGACTCGCAGAATAGGGGGGCTTCTCTGGGGCTACCCTCTTTACATCTCATTTATCGCATTCATCCTGCGGTCATTCCAATCCAATCTGTCAAAGCTTTCTCACATGGTAGCTTCTTCGGTACACCTCTGGATGTATGTATAAAGACACAACACAAGGAACTAATTAGTTTGTTTACGAAAATGAACGATTAGCAATATGTTTGTGTGCAAGTTTGTGCTGTAAGAATTGTTCATCGTTTTTCGTAAAATTCACATTTTGATTTTAGGATGGAAATCATAGGAAATCAATTTAACAAGGCATTTAACAAGGCATTTTCGAAATCTTCCGGTCGTTCGAAACAGTTGCAAACCTGTCCAGAAACGTCCATAAAATTCTTTGTGTGGCAAAATAGTGAATTTTTCATTAACTTTAACGGAAAATATTCTAAAAATAAATATTCATGCGCTTTTTCAGTGCTCCTATTGCACCAAAGTATACCTTAAACAACATCCATCTTGAAGCTGAATGAGAATGATTTGGGATTACGGTTATGTGGAATTATTGATGGATAAAATACTGATGCGTGCAGGGGCTGACCAAATCCCTGGGTGCTGCTGTTTATAGTCGCTATGTTAATAGTCTGGCGGATAGAATTTCGATCTATCAAAAAGCGGAACCAATCAATATATTGTAGACCAACAGTTGTACTATCAACTTTTATAAACAAACCTTTGAATGTTCTTTCCTCGCCAATCGAACACAAATTAACAACAGCATCGGATAGAGGGAACTTTCCCCAACCCAATGATGGTGTTGGTTTGCGTAGGCGAGCCTTGAGTCACGAGTAAAGGGTTTCCGAAGTTTTGTTAGCAAAAGCTGATATGCTCTTTTCTATTGTTGGTCGTGATATGCTCGATTGATTACACTATTTGACAGCACAATAATTGCTTACGCGAGATTCTTTCCGCATTATAACTGTTGTTGTCTCTTTTCTCATAGCATAATAATTACCTCAGCAATGATGTGTGAACTTTGTTGGCAGCGGGAGCAGAACCTGATCTAACTATTCTTTCATCACACTTAACAATCTACTGCAGCCCTAATTCAAGTAAACATTCAACGGAAATCAAAATGCTTCCACTGAGGCACAAAGTTTGACAGCTACACGTTAAAACGAAAGCCTACGAGTGCGCCTGAATTGTTACCAAACTGAAGCATATTAGTTTTTTTTTTGTCTGTTGTTCAGAATCTCAACCGAGAGCATTCATCAAAACAATGTCCACTGATTGAATTACATCCGAGGAACCTGTTGCAGTATGCGTGGCAGGTGATGGGTACATGGCATATTCTAACCGAGCTCTCAAGGTATCACGTTTCCTATACAGTAGAGCGTGTAATCTCAGACGACGAGTAACCTCGGACGCTGTCTTCCTTCTTCTCGTCGGCGGTGGGCAGCAGGCAGTGGTTGCTATGCAACACCGCACAACATTCCCATGCAACGTCGATCGACCAACAGCAGAGCAGAGAATCACCGGAGCGGAACGCAACGCTGAGAAAAAGGACGAAAAGTTTTTTTTGCCTCGTTTTTCGACCGAGCTGAAATAACAGGTTTCATTCACTAAATAATAGGGTTCTGTCTGCACGAGAGTGGAAGAGACAGAGAGAGTGAGAAAGACGATTGCAATATTTCGCATAAGGGTCCGTATACTGTGTGATTTGAGACATCCATAACCAGTTGCTGAGGTAGTTCTGACAAGTTTTTGGACAGGAATTTTGTGTTTAATAATAGCAATTACCCGAACGGTTGCTGCCACATTGAGGGCAGCAATCGTTCCGGACGAATCTGGAAAGCAGAAAAAGTATTAGTTTGACATTGAAACTGATCGCGAACAAAGAAAGTTGTCAAGTGGTGCGAAGTGCAGTGCTACCAACCGAAAGTGGCTCAATTTGGCAAAGTTTGCAGCATGCGATATCGACGGGATGAAACGACAGCGAGCATCGATGCTCGATCACGCTCATTTGCTTGGAATAACGAGTGTTTTCCGTTTTTTATTGCAATTTGGTTAGCGTTTTTCGGTTTCCCGGGTTTTGCATTGCCGCAATTTGTGGTGACGAAATTATTGACGGCGGAAACGAACGCTGACATCGATCGGCGCAGAGCGAAACGATCAACAACGGATCTCCCGCAATGCGAAAATTGGTTTGTCGGTCAAACTGTCAAAATGGAAGAAAATAAAAGTTGACAGGAAGAAGTGACATATTTATTTTTTCACCGAATCGTTAAACACTTCCCTCGTCGATAACAGATGCTTCAGTTATTTCGTTGTTTGTTTTTTTTTCGCCAGTGTTCTCTCTTTTGACGCGTCGCTTCGTCAACGACTGACTCAGACAGTTTTCTCGCGGGAGCGACCGGAAACAAATTTAAATTTATTAGTGCAAATTCCGGGTAGTTTCGAGCGTTTGTGTCTTTCAAAAGCTTACGGTTTTGCTTGTTTAGTTATGTTCTCACATTTAGCACAGCCCAGTTTGCCCCCTATCAATCTACGCATCGGTACGGACAGGGGCAACATTTTGACTTTTAAAAACTAATATTGCACTTGTCCCGGCCTATGCGTGGAGTTGGCATTCAGCATTACCCGCAAACTGGGAAGGTTCACCCGTATCATGTGACGACCTTTGAATCACTCCTATAGTATTGTTTTTTTTTTTCTAAATCAACTAAAACTTTTCCTTTTCTCATTCTATTTCAGATTTTGCTTAGTTCATCACTTTTGCCGCCTCATTATCGCTAAGACTGAGCAACAGAGATCTTCGAAAGCAAGAGCAACTTCAGAAACTTCTTCAACTTATTCATATGCCTATAGTATAAGCAACAACAACAACAACAACAACCACCATCAACATATTGAAAACAAGAGGTAAGCATCCTTTATTGTTACCTTCAAGTAATTTGATAGGTTTCATAGGTTAGGATCGTACACGAACTCGTTCTAAAGGTAGCGGTGTATCAAATTTCGTGCGCTTTTTTGCCAGTCTAGGCTAAACAAAAGCTCGATCGACATTGGGTTTTTGGGTGGCGTCAGGCATTACGGGTGCAACTAATTTGATCTGACGGGCATCGAACGATGGTGGTGATCTACTGAGTTGAATGCAGAAGAAAAAAAATGATCAATTTGTGGGCTCTTCTTGGAAACAGGAGGCCCGGATGTGGTGGCTTGGGTTCGATCAAGTTTAAGTTTGTGGATTAGCACTTCAGGTTTGTTAAGTTCAGACAGGGCCACCACCATGTCATATCGTAAACTCACACACTGTGCTATAGATGAGTAGAAAATGGGACACTGGAGTGAAGTAAAATGTAGCGATTCATCGATACAAGTACCGGATCATCATTAACATTGAAGATCTTCTAATGAAGTCATTAGAATGGAAAACTACTTTGAAAGTATTCCAAAACTTTCACGCTGACAGCTTTCATTTTGATGACATGGAGGCACAGCTTATTGATTTTCAATTTTTATTTCGAATCGCTTTGGGGTCTGGTGACGGAAGTTATTTGAACATCTCGGAAGTTTTTTTTTGTTGGTATTATAGTCACTTTAACGCTCTTGGGTCATTCGTGACTTGTCTGGGGGTGAGATTTGAACTCGTGACTTTGGCATGAGAGGTATGGATTCTAACCACTACGCCGGGGTCGCCCCCATCTCGGAAGTTTTTCGAACACCTCGGAAGCTCTATGAACTGTTCGGAAGCTCTATGTACTGCTCAGAAGTTCTATTAAATGCTGGGAAGTCCTATAAACTGCTGGGAAGATCTATGATCATCTCGAAAGTTCAATGACCATCCCTTAAGTTTTTGAAGTTCTATAAACTGCTCGGAAATTCTATGATCATCTCTGAAGTTCTATGAACATCTCTAAAGCCCTGTGAACTGAACAGAAGCTCTATGAGCTGATCGGTAGTTCTAGGGACATTTCGGAAGTTCAATGAGAGATTTGTCTTTAATAAAAACAATCATAATAATACATCTCGAGAGTTCTATGAACTGCTCGGAAGTTATATGACCATCTCGGAAGTTCCATGACCATCTCGCAAGTTTTATAAATTTCTCAGAAGTTCTATAAACTTCTTGGAAGTTCTATGAACTGTTCGAAAATTCTATGATCATCTCTGAAGTTTCATGAACATCTCGGAAGTTGTGTGAACTGCTCGGAAGTTGTGTGAACTGCTCGTATGTTCTATGAATATCTCGAGAGGTCTACAAACATTTCGAAACTTTTATGAATTTCTCGAAAGCCCTGTGAACTGCATGGATGTTTTATGAGCTGGTCGGGAGCTCTAGGGACATTTTGGAAGTTCTATGAACATCTTAAAAGTTCTGTTAACTACTCAGAAGTTCTATGAACCGCTCGGAAGTTCAATGAGAGACGTGTTTTTAATAAAAACAATCATAATAATACATCTCGGAGGTTCTTTGATCATCTCGAAAGTTCCATGATCATCTCGGAAGTTCCTTGACCATCTCGGAAGATCTATGCACATATCGGAAGTTCTGTGAACTGCTTGTAATTTTCTATGAATATATCGGGAATTCTACAAACATTTGGAAAATTCTATTAATTTCTCGAAAGCCCTATGAAGTTCTATGAACTGCTTGGCAGGTCTATAGTCTGCTCGGAAGTTTTACGAATATCTCAGAAGTTCTATGAACTGCTCGGACATTCTATGAACTGTTCGAAAGTTCTATGAACTGCTAGGAAGAACATCTTGGAAGTTCTAGGAACTGCTCGGAAATTCTAGAACATCTCGGAAGTTTAATGGACATTTCAGAAGTTCTTTGAACACCTGGAAAGTTTCATGAACATCTCGCAAGTTCAATGAGCTGTTCTGAAGCCCTATGAGCTGCTAGGAAGTTCTATGATTTTTTTTCCTTGATTTGTTTTCCGTCGATCTTTTTTTCCGTACTGAGTACCGATGCTACCGTCGCCAGGAAGGCTTCCACACCTGGACCCTACCTATCGACCCTCATTGAACATCTCGGAAGTTCTATGCATGCTGTGCAAGTCTATGAACATTTCGGAAGTTCTATGAACTGCTTGGGAGATTCATGGACTGCTTGGAAGTTCTATGAAAATCCCAGAAGTTCCATGCACATTTCGTAAGATCTATGAACATCTCTGGAGTTCTACGACCATATTGAAAATTCTATGAATTTCTATTAAGTCCTGTGAACTGCATGAAAGTTGTATGAGCTCGTGAAGAGGATGCAGATAAGAAAAGAAATACCAAATACTCCCGTTAATCTGAACGACACTTCGTGCATATTACTAAGGTTAAAAAAATGAATTTCTAGTATCTAGAAAAGCAAGTTGCTGGTAGCCTCATTTATTGTTTTGTTTTGATTCTGCGTTCCGTTTCGCAGCCATTTAGCTTTACTCCATTCCATGTGCTAAATGATGTTTGAGCAATTGTAAGTTTGCATGACATGCAGATTAGTGGGGTTCAAACTACACAATGTTCGGATTAAAACGGTCAGATTACCGGGCGTCCGCGGAATGAAGAAAACGAAAAAAAAAGAGATTCTTAATATTGTTGGAGTCGTAAGTTCAGAATCGGGTATTCTGCAAACTCGCAGGTAGCTCTGTGAACTTGTCTGAAGTTCAGTGCATTTGTAGGATGATAAGTGAACTTGGCGTAAATGTTATGAACTTGTCGAAGGATCTATGAACTTGTCGGAAGTTTTGTGAACTTGGTGGAAGTTCTGTGAACTGGTCGGAATTTTAATGAACCTATTGGAAGATCTTTAACAGTTCAAAAACTCAAGTCACAATATCTCAGAGACATGTTTTTAAAGATATCAGGTTGATTAAGAATTATTCAGAAGAACTTCAGTTGATCAGAAACCCCCGTAAAGTCCTTTGGATATTTTTTCAAGACTTCAGGTTGATCAATAAATGTTCTGAAGATCTTCCACTGTCCATACATTCAAGTCACTTTTCTCAGATATTCTCTCAAGATGTCTAGCCGAGCAGGAAATATGTTTCAAAGGCCTTCAGTTGATCAACGATCTCCGTGAAGTCCTTTAGATATTTTTTAATGACTTCAGGTTGGTCAGATATTGTTCTGAAGATCTTCAACAGTTCAACAATTTAATTCACATCTCTCAAATATATGTTAAAGATATCAGGTTGACCAGGACAATGACGCAGAAAAAATGCTCTTATTATTTTCAACTGAACATGATATTTGCAATAAAATACCACATAATACAAACGTTAGAACCTCCCTAGAATATTAGATTTTAAATACATAATTTTGAAAGCAAAATGTCTATTCAGGAGCACCAAATTACTTAAAAAGCATGTTGGCTACGATCAGGTATTGAATATTTTCGGGCAACAAAAGTTCATCGTAAAAATCGCACTTTATACGAAGTTCCTTGGCGTTCACCAATTTATCAAAAGCATATTGTTGGAAATCATTAGTTTCGCCGATACGTAGCAAAAATTCCTATCGATTGATGGAAAAATATTGAAAATGTATCATGACATAGCCGAGATATAATCGTTCAAAACCTGACCACTTTTCGTTACATGTTCATTTTTCGTACTCGCAAAAAGAAAACAAAGACGTAGTTCAAGATCAAAATATCAGATGGATTATGTTCTGAGAATAGCTCCAAAAATTATGGAGCGCAATTTAAATTAAATACTTCGGTAAGTTTCAGGAAAATTCAGAAGGAAACTCCAAAGGATTTCTGAAAAGAATTCCAATGAAATTATGAGGAGCGTTTTGAGTTATAAAAAATAGAGTATTTCAACGGACTTTAATTGGGGTTTCCCGATTACTTTTAAAATTCCTGGTTTTCCCGGTTCGCTGGCGGTTTGTCGTGAATGATCGAAATTTTGCAGCACGAAGTTCAAATCGAAGGACTTACGAGATAAGTACAGAGGACTTAAAAGTTAACTCCAGAATCCTTATGAGTTAACTTCATATATGTTGTGGTTCTGCTTCAGTGGCTTTGATGTTATGGCATAGATGAGTATATTGATTGTTTAGGATGTATGAATGAGTGATTAAACTAATTGCTCTCATATGTTAATTTCAATAGTTAACTCAAGATATCTCGTATGGAAAACTGTGTTCAGAGATGTTATGGGTCAACTCTTGGTATCTTTTGGTGCAGCTTCAAAGTCTATATTGGTCAGTTTATAGTTGAATTCAGAAGTCTTATGGATTAACGTCAGAGGTATTGTGGGTCAAGGTAAACTTTTGGATTATCCTTGTAAGGCCCTTTTAATAATATTTTCATAAACTCGGTATCCGGGATTATGCGATAAGTTCCTCGTGAGTTTCATAGAATTATAAGCGTCTACCTTCTTGATCGATCTCTCTTGTCAACTTGTGTTGTCAGAGAGCTTGAATGTCTAATTCAAGGATCAAATAAGGAAACTTTGGGGGTTAACTTCCAAGGCCTCATAAGATATGTTCAAAGGCCTTAGGGACCATGCATTAATGTAATAACTGTGACCGGTCATGTATTTGGTATACATAGAAAAATATACAACGAGGCTCCCGAGGGTCCCACATTGCTCAATCATATGCTAATACCAAGCATAGAGATTAGATATCAACTCCAACGTTAATACTCACATGGTGTCCATTTCTAGATTAAAAAAATTAAACCGCCCGAATCCATCGCTGTTAAGTGCATCACTTTTTCTAATAGCATTTTATGAGATAATGGAGAAATATTATCACCATCAGCTAAACCGTTAAAACCAACACCCGCTGCATAATTTGCACATAATAACCCCGCAAGTGGCAACAAAACGATCTTAAATCCATTTCACCTGCCGCCGGCACGCAGTCTGCTCTTTGCTTTACAATCTCTCGGGAACAGTTAGTCCAAATTCCTATCA